ATATTTTCACATTCGATCTGAGCTGTCCATGGTGAATGGTCTCTTGCTTAGAAAAAACAGAATTGTCATTCTATGCATCCAGAAATACTGAAGAGGTTACATGAAGGACATCTGGGGATGGAAAAATGCAAAAGAAGAGCAAGAGAAGCAGTGTACTGGCCAGGAATAAATGCTGGTATTGAGAAAGTAGTGAGTACACTCTTAAAAATAAAGGTGCTTCAAAAGGTTCTTCAAGCGATGCCATAGAAGAACCATTTTTGGTTCCACAAAGAACCATTCAGTCAAAGGTTCTTTAAAGAACCATCTCTTTCTTACCTTTTTATAATCTGAAGAACCGCCTTTCGCCACAAAGAACCTTCTGTGAAACAGAAAGGTTCTTCAGATGTTAAAGGTTCTTTATGGAACCATTTAGACAAAAAGGTTTTTCTATGGCATCGTGAAGCACCTTTATTTTTAAGAGTGTAGATGTGAAACATGCCTCAAATATCGTAACAAACAAGCTAAAGAACCAATGATAATAGCAGACCAAACTTCTGAAGCCTGGGAAAAGGTTGGTACTGAACTCTTGATGTCCTTTTAATAACAATTGTTTCCACCTTATTTCACAACTTCCTCCTCTTCCTCTACATCATACCCTCTTATATCGTTCATTACATACTGACCTCTAGCGGTCACAATAACAATCACATATTAAATAGTACAACTATGACACATTTTCATTTAATGGCAAATACCACGCAACCAAGTGTCTGAAAACATTACATTCAATTTCCATGTAAGCATATTCTTTCTTTTTTTCTAAGACGTACTCTTTTTAAAAGTATGCTAAAGTGTACTTTTTTCCCCCACAAAGAAACAACTAAAGCAAATCTACCACTATAGACCACAAACATTGTGCAAGTATGAAGACTTTCTATACATTCAGAACTCATGCAGACAAAGTGGGTTTGTCCTCATCTAAAGTATTCAGTGAATAAACAAAAATCTCTCTTTCGTGAGGCCTTCATTTAGAATGTAATCTGGGGCTCTTTGAAGATTAGAGATCCTGAAATACCCTCTTTATCTCCAAACCCTACATTTTCCTTTTCAGAGAGTAAAGATATCAGAGACTGTGATAAAGAGCCTGCACTCCACCCAGTAAAGACGCTCTGCTTCAGTCAGAGATATCAGATTCTCCATGGACAGGTGCTTAGATGGCCTCAGTAGAGGAGAGCTGCTTATTTATTTCATTGGCTCATTAATGTTATGGATACAGAAATCACAACTGCTGACAAGGTTTGAGTGTGTCCTTGCTTGACTGGGTGAAACATTGGTGACATTTGTCTGACTGAGTGAATGATGGTGTATGAGAGGCGTAGGAGACGCGATGTCAAGAACGGTCTCACAAATTAAGTCTCGTGGAAATAAAAAAAAAAGTAGACCAATGAATCTAATTGAACTAATCTCATCTAACACACAGACCATGAGCAAATATTCGTGTCTTTTTACGAATAGGGTTCGAATTGCTTTATATACACGCCTAAGATTTCTCTCTTTCGTGAGGCCTTCATTTAGAATGTAATCTGGGGCTCTTTGAAGATTAGAGATCCTGAAATACCCTCTTTATCTCCAAACCCTACATTTTCCTTTTCAGAGAGTAAAGATATCAGAGACTGTGATAAAGAGCCTGCACTCCACCCAGTAAAGACGCTCTGCTTCAGTCAGAGATATCAGATTCTCCATGGACAGGTGCTTAGATGGCCTCAGTAGAGGAGAGCTGCTTATTTATTTCATTGGCTCATTAATGTTATGGATACAGAAATCACAACTGCTGACAAGGTTTGAGTGTGTCCTTGCTTGACTGGGTGAAACATTGGTGACATTTGTCTGACTGAGTGAATGATGGTGTATGAGAGGCGTAGGAGACGCGATGTCAAGAACGGCCTCACATAAATTAAGTCTCGTGGAAATAAAAAAAAAAGTAGACCAATGAATCCAATTGAACTAATCTCATCTAACACACAGACCATGAGCAAATATTCGTGTCTTTTTACGAATAGGGTTTGAATTGCTTTATATACACGCCTAAGATTTTTAAATATTTTTCAAAGAAGTCTCTTATGCTCACTCACGATTGCATTTTTTTAATCAAAAATACAGTAATAATGTGAAATATTATTACAATTTATTATTTTCTATTTAGATATATTTTAAAATGCAATTTATCCCTGCGATCAAAGCTGAATTTTCAGCATCATTACTCCAGTCTTCAGTGTCACACGATCCTTCAGAAAATCATTATATGCTGATTTGATGCCGAAGAAACATTTCTGATTATTATTAATGTTGCAAACAGTTTGATATTTCTATGGAAAGGTACAATAGAAAGTCCAAAAGAACTTAAAAAAACAAACAAAACAACAACAAAAAAAACTGGCTGAACAAATATATATTTCTGGAAAATACTGAAGTTTTATAGAAAAGTTTATTATAACTATAAACCAATATTTGGTCCCAAAGTAGTAGCCCCTTCTCGTAGCCCTCTTAGCCATTCTGCCATTTTATTAAGTTTTTATTTTACATTTAATTTTTTTGTGGAATGTTATTTAATGCTCATAAAAGAAATGCACAAATCAAAGTTTTAAAATGTATCCAAACATTCTGTTAAGGGTTGCAAAAACATCTCGTCTCATAAAAACTGAATTGAAAATCTCCTTTCATTGACTTAGAAAAAAATAAAAATAATGTTTTTTTGCCATTCAGTATATGATTGGCTTAATAAATTCCCAGAATAGTGTATTTACAAACAGTCTTACCACGAAGAAACCAACAAATACACAACTAACATACCAATTACTGCACTAAAACACTACAACTATTAGGATCCTGTGATTTTCGTGGCTACTCAAGAGTAGTTTGGCCCAACACTGTGCACTTGCCTGTGACACTTAAAGCTTGGAAGTACACAGCTTACATTGGATTCCCTTCGACTTTGTGTGCTGAAGGCTGAAATTCTGCTGACGTTGTTGAGTTAACACGTACAGGCTCGAGCACAGCTGTGCTGCTCCACTTCCCACCATCGGCCCAATCTGATAATACAATTCACTTAACACCCCCCATCCCATATTTTGTTAGTTAGTTACATAGTTATAAATGTAACTTGAATGAAAGTGGTGAAGCACCAAGTACCAATATATGCATCTTTATTTTATTTCATTTAATTTATATTTTTTAAGACATGTCCTTAAATTCTTGTATTTAGCCCCCCCCCCCCCCCCCCCCCCCGTCTCTCTCTTTCACACACACAAGAACATTGATGCTTTAAGGCAGGGGCTCCAAGCATGTTCCTGAAGGCCACTGTCATGCAGAGTTTTGCTCCAACCCTAATTAAACACACTTGATCCAAAGTAATCAAGATCTTCAGACTGACTAGAAATTTCAAGGCATGTTTGTTGGAGCTAAACTCTGCAGGACATTGGCCGTCCAGGACCACGATTGGAAAAAACCTGCTAAGAGACAGATGCCTGTTGTCATTTATTTTACAGTAAAACTACTGTACTCTAAAACCAAGCGGCAACCTCCCGCTCTCTCTCGTGAAGCCAACACGGAAGTGATTTAAACTGTAATTCGTCAACTGGCTGCTAGAAGATGGCTGCAAAAGGGAGTCAATCCCATAGACTCCCCGCGTTAAAATGCCCAACTTTACAGCAGAAAAAAAAACATATTTACAGCCTGGTTCAAAAAAAGATTTTGGTCTGTTTAGCTAATTTTGCCCTTCATGACAACTGTGAGGGAAGTGAATTTTTTTATAACTCAACCATTTAAATTATATTAAGCCTTAAAGTTCTGCATAATTAAGGGCGTGGCCTCTTGAGTGACAGGTGGATTGCCGCTGCTGACACTGCCATCGAGCTTGGTGGGTGTGGTTTCAGCAACCAGCTCCCGCCTTTTTGCCCATTTTAGATTATCCGGGAGTGACGCGTGGCGACGCGCTGCCAAGATGGCGACGGCCGGCTCCGCCCACTTTGAGCTTCAAAACCGCTCTTCAGAAACCTACGGGTGAGGTCACGGACACTACGTCCAAACTAATCTATAAAACCTGTAATCTGTTTTTTTATGGTACAGTTCTATTTTTTTAATACCATGTGGTCACCATTCGCTGTACAGTAAAGCGGATCAACATTGTGTTTAACAACTCTGAAACGATACGAGTAAACCATGACAGATTTTTACATTTTAGGCAAACCATTCCTTGGAGTCTTTCACTTGCAACTCAAAATAAGAAATCAACACAAGCGGTTGCATATAAAAGAAAAGCCGATACATTTATTGATGCATTAGAGCTATAAATTTGGTGTTGACTAAACTGCAATGCAACAATCCCAATCATAATGCATGCCTTTGGAGTAAACAGACGTACAAGTCCATATCCGCTGACCCGCGTTGTGTCTCTCAGAACAAAACAATGTTCCGCAAATTAAAATTTACTGCAACTGTCCCATAAACATGACAAACGGCATTCAATTTAAACTGCTGCATACTCTGCAACCTTCAACTATATTTTCAGCCGTATAAATCACAGCTGGTACGTGAGCTGGTAGTGGGCATCAGGGTTCACTTGGCTGAAGCAAGTGCGCGTCGCTAAGTACATGTAGTGGAAGTGATGCATCAGCCGCTGGCAGGGAGCCAGTCGCCACGGTAACAGTGTCTGCTGTCTGATGCATTTGTAGCATAGCACCTCGCTAAGAAGGGTCATCCACACTGCTATAAATAAAGCGCTAACGACTACACTCGGCTTTTACACTGCAAGCCATGCATTATAATATTTAATCAGCCCTACTAACCTGCGGTAAATGAGAGAGTCAATTTCACTGTAAACAATTTATGTTGTAAACTCATCAGCAAGAGTGATATTTACAAGGTTCTTTATGCGGTACGAAAGGTTTCGTGATTCGTTCGTCAACAGCATTTTATTGGATGTACATTTTGTAGAGTAACACATGCGATCTGTTGATCTTAACCATATTCGACCATTGTTTTAACATACGGTCATCTCATTACATGAAGCTAAACATTTATAGCATCTCTCTGAGGTACATTTTAGGTGATTGATATATTTGTGTTCATCGAGAATTTCATTTTTTTCCTTTGATCTTTCAAAAAAATGCATCGACTTGCTTAAGACGCGGACCTTTTCAATTCATATATTATAGCTTAAGTCTGACGCTGTACTGAGTACCATCAGGAAGATAGCAGCAGTTCTGAGCCACTTCTGCCAAGCTGCATCAACGAGAGAGGACAACAACATTTAGTAACAAAACTGGCCATCTATCAGCTCTTAATAATATAATTTCATCTACAATTCTCATGGACGTTTTTCACTGTCCCTTTAAAAAAAAAAAAGCTACACTTCAAAAAGTTCTACATAAACGCATCCTGGTACAAAAAGCAACACGATTCAAATAGTATAATAAAAATAAGGGTAGAGTGTAAATATATATTCATATTTATACATTTCTAGATGTATTTACAAGAAAGGCTGTCAGTCAGATAAACTGCGTGCCCGTTGTTAAAATACATTCGGGCAGAGCTTTTAGTGGAATACATTTTCTTACGAATTTGGTCAAAAGAAAGGTCTTCGTTATTATATAAACACTCCCAGCATCCATCAAGCTGTTCCTCATTCGATGACGGTAACGTCTTCAAGGCTTGCTCTACTACAGATGGCAGGATGATATTTCATATTGACGAGTCTTGAGAAACACATGTGTATCATTCTGCTCAAGTGCCCTGTAGCTTTATAGCAACGACAGGTAATGGGGTCAGTGAAGGCCCAGTTTGTTCTCTTCCAGCTGTGTGAATCTAGCGTCTCATTATGTGAAGTCCATGCCGAGCTCTTCAGCTCTTGGCCGCTCTGTAGTGTGCTATGTGGCAAAGCATTGTCTCCTAGAGTTCATGGGTCCAGCCGGGTAGCACAGTGGAGAGGAACTGAATGTGAGTGAACTCAGCGCTTTTTAAACGCCACCCCGCGGTTGGGATGAGGGGGGAATTTGGGCAGGCAGGGCTCATCAGCACCGGGGTCATGGGAGAACACAGAGTCTTCACCGGAAGAGCACGTAGAACTGCGCGTGTCGGGGAAATTTGGAGAAAACTGGTCCAGAGACACAGACAGGTCCAGATACTCCTGAAAATGTAAAATACACAGAAAATGTATTATTGTTGTTAATACAACAACAAATTATTATTATTATTATTACAGTAGTCAACATTTGAAGTGGATCAAAACCTTTCATTAAAGTTGTCCTAAAACCTAAAAGCGTTCTTGTATTAGGACAATTTTAATGAACTTTTTTGATCCACTTCAAATGTTGACTGCTGTATTTTGCTGTTGTTGAAATGTATTATTATTGAATAATTATAATAGTTATTATTATTTGGTAATGTATTTGTATTATTATTATTGTTGATGATGATGATAATTATTATTAGTAGTAGTTATTTAATAATAATAATAATAATAATAACTCAACAACAACACATTTTGTTATTGTGTTATTTCATAATTTATTATCATTGACTTATTATTAATTATTGAACTACTACAATAATAATAATACTAATTATTATTATTACTACTACTACTACAACTACTGAAGAACAACAAATTATTTATTAATAATATTTTTTATTAGATTGTCATTAAGTTAATATTATTTGATCATTTATTATTATTATTATTATTGACTTATTATTATGAATCCCTGAACAACTACAATCATAATAATAATAACAACAATAATAATAATAATTATTATTATTATTGGATTGGATTATTTTAATTTATAATCCTTGATGATGATAATTGATGATCAAACTATTATTATTAACTAATTAATTACTGGATGATAATAATAATAATAATAATAATACTTATTATTATTATTATTATTATTGGATTATTTTAATTTAAATTTATTTTATATATTATTTATTATCCTTGATGATGATAATTGATGATCAAACTATTATTATTACTATTATTATTATTAATATTAATAACGAATTATTAATTACTGGATAATAATACTACTAATAATAATTACTGAATAATAACAACACTGAATAATACAAATGTATCATAATTATTTAATATTTCTATGCTGTTATGCAGTGTCACAATAAAAATTATTTAGATTAAAAAAATAGCTTTTTTGAAGCACAGTTACAATGCCATGTAAAGCATTGAAAGCTGATTTGTGGATTATCAAATGGTTCTGGCTCACCTGATTGGACGTCATAGAGAGGGTGCGGTCTAGATCCTCCACCAGCTGTTTGAACGTGGGTCTCTGAGATGGGACGGCATGCCAGCAATCTCTCATCATCATATACCTGCAAAAGGAAGACAGGTTTAACAACTGTAATAAGAAACCTCTGGCATCATGACTGAAGATACAGCATTAAAACAGTCTTACAGTTCGTGGGTACACGTGGAGGGGCGGTCCATGCGGTGGCCCTCCTTTAGCAGTTTAAAGAGCTCCTCGACAGGGACACCTGGATACGGTGAGCCGCCAAGAGTAAAGATCTCCCACAGCAACACCCCAAAAGACCACCTTACATGCAAAGAATGACCATTATTAACAGACAACTGCATTGTGTATGTGAGTGAGTTTGAGAGAATATATTGAGACGTACACGTCACACTGATGGGTGTAAATGCGGTCGAACAGAGCTTCAGGCGCCATCCATTTCACTGGTAAACGACCCTGTGGAAGACACAAGCACTTCGTTCACTTACTCATCACCTGTTTGGGATTAAAGAACTGGTATATCTGCTTGTGACAAATGCTGCCTTCAAATCCTGCTGGGAGGAAACTGTAATTATTAGTGGTGTTTGCGAATAGTGTTGTCAAAAGTACAGATGTCGGTACCAGTCCATACTCAAAATGTAAAAATGTGACTATACCAGCATTTCTCGCTAGCATTTTGAGCACTGTTGTGTGATTCTCAAACACCTCTAATTGGCCATTGTGTTCACACGCTCAACAGAAATGTCTGTGATAGACTACGTCTATGAGCAGATATATTAGGGATCCACTGACAGACGTGGCTTTCAAACGCTCCCGTGTGTATCTGTGTTAGTGTTGGGTCGTTCTTGAACGATTCGTTCATTTTGAACGATTCTTTAATGTGACTCGGGAAGAACGAGTCGTCTCGGGGAGTGATTCGTTCAGTCGCGCATGCGCAACATCCTATAGGTTCTGTACTGGAATTAGTCAAGTAGTTCAGTTTCGAGTCTTTGGGTTTTTCCGAGTCGTTCGTTCATCACGTGACAGCCCCATAAGCTTTAACCAATGCAGTCTGAGCTAATCATAGACTGAAGGTAAACAATGAATTAATCTTTTCTGTTTCTTATAGCAGTTTTGTATTGTTTGTAGTGTGATCAACGTTTGCGTAAGTAGTAGACATATTAGGGAAGTAACACGTAACATTTTAAATATATTTTGCTAAAATGAACGAAATGACTCGAAAAAAGATTCGTTCATTTTGCTGAACGAGACTCAAAGGTCCGAGTCGGTAAAATGATCCGAACTTCCCATCACTAATCTGTGTAAGCGCTCGGTGAAGAGCATGAAGCGATGATCATTGTAGCTAATCACAGACAGATCTGTTGAGTGTGTGAACACAATGGCCAATCAGAGTGGTTTAAGAATCCGCTCAACATATCCGCACAGCGGACAAAAAAATCTGGCAAAAAATCCCATAGACTTCTATCCCATAGAAAACACAACATTTTGACCAAATTTGACAGGGTCCAAATTGACCAAGAATTTCGTAGAAACGTGTGGATCACCACATTTGAAGAGAATTCAATATAAATTGTGCTAGAACATACCTCACAATGGGGTATAGGTTCTACCCCTGGGACGCAAGATCCCCCCAAAGTTGCCCCATAGACATACTATGGTGAAGGAACTGAGCATGTTTTTCCTACTATCGTAACTTGCATTGGAATTTTGCATCAAACATAACTCTGGGGGTGGGCTCATTTTACGCCACGGTAAGCTCCACTCACATTTTCTTTACAAAATGTACATATCTAGTTATCAAAGTCAGTGTTAACTCAAAGTTGGTGTTCAAAGAAAATCCCACCGGTAATTATGACAAGAATCATCTCATAAAATACGATAATTCAGACAAGCAACATAAAATAAATCGCTTGGACAGGTTCATAGTAGGCCTGGGCGATAAAACGGTATCGATATTTATCGACGGTACACCTTCTTCGATATCGATAGAAAAAATGTTCGATATAGCGCACGATATAGGCACATGCTATAAGTGACGCAGACAGCACACACAAACGCGAACACATGCTGAAATGAGTGCTGTGCCTGCCTGTGATGAGGAGATTGTGAATAAAGAATGAATATTAGTCGAATTTAAAATAAACATTTGCATTTGAATGTTAGGAGTGCGTCAGGGAGCGTCATCAGTGGCGCGCGAGATGCAGTGATGATGATGTAAGTGACGTTGTTGCATTTGAATGTTTTGTTATTGTAGCCCATGAGACGTGCCGCTGCTGCGTTATTCATTCAAAATATTAAGAGAAATATAGAAGCTCAATGCGGAGAAGATATTGAATGGGTTAAAACCGAAACCAAGCCATTCACACGGATGCATATTCAGCGCATTTTTTAGATGGACAAATATGTCTGCTCCACTCGCGTCTCACACAAGAGATGTATAGAAAGCCATGCAAAGTTAAAACAGTTTAAACTTTTAGAAAACACGTCACAAATTTGTGGAGGTTTATTCCTTTTCACTGCATCTCATATATTTGAATGGTGCTTAGGCTCTTTGTATTAAGCAATGCATAAATACATTATGCTGTTTTGTTCATAAATAATTATGCAATTTACGAAATTATATTTGATTGTTATGAGTTAATTTAGACGTAATTTAGACGTTTTTATAGGAGTTACTTCCTTGCGTTGACAATTTAAATGCGCTGCATTATTTTGCTCATTGCGCCCTCCTGTGGCCTCGGAAGACAATTAGACCTATACAATAAAGACTTATTTAATCTGCATATAAAACATTAGAAATTAGATATTTGTTTAATTTTTGTGTTTGATTGTTTAAACAAAAAAAATATTTGTTGTCTGTCTCAATATATTTGTGTTAATTATAAATACAGTGGTTAAATTAAAAAACATTTTTCTATTGCTTTTTGTTTTAAAAAAGGTTATAAAAAATGTCAATAATTATCGATACCGAACGATATGAAACATTATATCGTTGATAAATTGTTTAGCTATATTGCTCAGCCCTAGTACAGCAATCAAAGACCAAATGAACATTATTTTATATTTAATAAAGTGACTTTTCTTATGTCTCATTCCAAAATCTTACATTGGTGGTCTTCTTGTAGTAATCAATATGATGGATGTCTCTGGCCAGGCCAAAGTCTGCTATCTTCATAACGTTATCTTCAGTTACCAGGACATTACGGGCAGCCAAGTCTCTATGAATACACTACAACAGAGAAAACACGCATGCATATTAATCAAGCAAATAATTAATCAAAGTCATATGTTAATTTGACAGATATGAGAACAGAAGCATTTGAGATGCCAACCTTCTTGGATGCGAGGTATTCCATGCCACGTGCCACCTGGTAGGCGCAGGACACCAGGTCTTTGATTGACATGTTCTCCACAGGCACCTGGTCGGGGTTGTAGCAGTACTCCATCCCAAGCGGACGACGCACACGCAGATACTCCCTCAGATTGCCCTTTGAAGCAAACTCCACAATGACGTAGAGAGGACCTGACAATGGACATATGAAAACATTTCAGTCACATAATTCTTGCTGGAATATAACACTGATCAAAATTAGTGGTTGAACGAAATGAGTTTTACAATGGCTAAGACTAATGAAGGTGTCTTGAGAGCAGGTTAGTGAAAAGCTATTATAATGCCAGTATTTCTATATATCATACAATATAATGACAGCAAATGTGATTTAAATAAACATGTATCTTACAACTTTTTAACATTAATTTTACAAAGATTGGGGTTGGTAAGATTTTTTTTAAAGTAAAGTCTCTTATGCTCATTGAGGCTGCTTTTATTTAAAATGCAGAAAAAAACTGTAATATTGTGAAATATTACTACAATTTAAAATAATGGTTTTCTATTTAATATATTGTAAAATGTAAGTTATTCCTGTGATGCAAAGCTGAATTTTCAGCAACATTGCTCCAGTCTTCAGTGTTACATGATCCTTCAGAAATCATTCTAATATGATCATTTGATGCTCAAGAAACATTTCTTATTATTATCAATGTTGAAAACAGTTATGTGGCTTCATATTTTTGTGGCAATGTGGCACATTTTGCAGGATTCTTTGAATAAAAGGCTCAAAAGAACATTATTTATGTGTAATAGAAATCTTTATAAAATAGCCTATAAAAACCTTTACGGTCACGTTTGATTAATTTAATGCAGCCTTGTTGAATAAAAACATATTTTTTTTCGTCCATAAATAAAAAGATCTTATTGAACCAAAATTTTTGGACAGTGTTTTTATCGCTAACTAAACCTATTAGAAACCTGTTTCATTATAAATCTGCAAATAAAGCCAAAATAAATAAAATATAAAAACTTTTTAAAAATGTGACAAGAAATGTTGACTTAGTAACTTACTGAAATCAAATCATTTTAAGTACTAAATTGACTAAAACGGAATTAAAAATGAAATCTAAATATAAATATATAAAAACTAATACAAATTAAAACATGACAAAAATACTAAAATTAAACTGACAACCCAAAATATAAAAAAAGCCATTTCAAAATATTAACAAATAATATAATAGTAAATAAATAATAATAAAAAAAATGTACTTAATTCACAATTTGTTTTTAACAAATTAATGTTTTATTTTATACTGAGGTAGCCTTGAAGAGGCCACTGTTTGTAAACTAGGATTTACACTAAGGAAGCTGGGTTTAATTTATGTAGCATGTACAATCACAATAGTTGGACTGATGACAACATCCTGTCCTTTTAAAGTAAAAAAGCCGTATTGCATTATCCCTAAACGTCTCCCTTGCCCACCCAACTCTCTCCCTCCTCCTTGATTCATCCTTACTCACCATCTTGTGTGCAGGCCCCCAGTAAGTTGATGATGTTCTTGTGTTTGCCAATAATCTTCATCATTTCCATCTCGGAGATGAGGTCTGACAGGTCCTTCTCTGTGGCGTCGGCTATAAAAGCAATATTAATGAACACACAAATATCTTAGTATGACAGGTCACGAAACCTTCAGCCTCTAAGCTGTGATGGACAAAACAAACCGTGCAGATGGGTCATTTTATTTATGCTTTCCTTTCTCATTTATTTCCGGTGTTGACTTGAAATCAACTTAACAGTATGCAACTTATTTAATGTGCGTAATCTGATGCATTTTTCAGTGAAACTCAATTCTTGGTAGAAAATAATGTAGAGCTAGACTTGATTTTAGTGGATACTAAAAAATTTGGCTGTGTGATTACTAGTATTTTTTTATAGAATAATGTGAATTAATGAATTGTGTACACCACAAGTCCAGGAACATTTATTATTTTGTTCAGATTAATTTAGTTTGTTACAATTTATAATTGTGTTGAGAAAAATACTGTCTATGTATGATGCATTACAGATCAGTAAGTGAGTCAGATGTTAATTAAGTGAATGAATCAAATGGATAATGAGAGTTTCGAAGTCTGTTGGTGAGTCTGTTTCACCAATTCAGCTACAGAATCAATTCATAAGAGTCATTTATTTGTGAATCAACCAACATAAATATGACAGATATGATTAATTATGCAGTAGTGCTGTATATTCAGTGATGCAGGGCTTGATGCAGGGCAGTGATGTTTTTATTGTAAACAAAGCTATAGCAATATGTAAAAATTAGAATAAAAACCTAAACTTAAAAAAAATGAAATATTGCCTTGGTAACTGAAATAAAAACAGTTTAAGTTGAAGTAATACAATTAATAAAAACAAACAAATAAATACATCTAAAAAGAAAATAACATTAAATCTATTTTAACCTTAAGAAAAGATTTTATCTATTAGAAAATTAAATCTAAATATGCACAACAAAATAAAACCCATGTACAAAATATAACAAAAGCATATAAGATTACTAAATGAAATGAAAACTGACAATATAAAATAAAAAAGCCAATTCAAAATAATTATTATAAAATCTAAAATAATAATAATAATTAATTATATTATTATAATAGTTTATAAATAATACTAAAATTATACTAATTCAGGAGACATCAGCACACAGAGAGTCAGAGTGTTTGCTAATGTTTGCGGGCATTCACTCGCTGAGGAGAGGATGGGAAACAGACAGAACCTGAATCAGAATAAACAGCTGCTCTGGTATGGTATGTGACACGAGAGCTCGATTAACATGCTTCAGGGTCAAGGTGAAATACAGGAGAAAGCTCAGCAGACCATCAGATTCCTCATGAGACACTCAATTCCAGACAGAGTTTGCTGGCGTACTTCCATTTTTACACCACACACACACAACTGTCGGCTAACAACGGCGGCAGAAAACACTTACATTTGAGCATCTTGACAGCCACTTTGGTGATACGACTGGGTTTGTCTTTATCCATCCCGATAGCCTCGGCCATCATCACCTGCCCAAAGCAGCCCTCGCCAAGCGGCTTCCCGAGAACCAGCCTGACACACAAACACACACAATATTAATCACTGTGTTGAATAACCAACATTTCTCCAGGCCATACTTCAGATGGACAACAAATGATGAGTACAGTGTGTGTATGTATGTGTTACCTGTCTCTGGCCACCTCCCAGCGTGAGTCCTGGGGCAGTTCATATTCGGAGACCCCTGACAGCATAGGGGAGCCGCTGGAGGACAGACGCGAGGGCCGGACCAGCATCCTACCCGAGTGCATAGATGAGCTGGAGTCCCCCCAGGCCACCCTGAAGGACCTACCAGTGAGATAGGATTCAAACCAGCGAAGCGGAATCCCTGTGATGCCCAGTGACAAGAGGGTGGACAGAAGAATCTGATGATTCACAGTATCAAAGGTGGCAGATAGATCCAGCATAATGAGAACTGATGATTTGGAATCAACTTTCGCAATCCGCAAAGCTTGAGGTTTTCTGTCAATAGTCTAGTGACATTTAAAGTCACTTTCAAACCAAGAAGCAATGAATCTGCATGACCAACTTGAACCTGCTATGACGCTTGTTGTATTCCTCAATTGTAAGTAAATGTAAATTCTAAATGACAATAAGCTTGATTTTATTACACATTATTTTCAAAGTTTTTTTTAAAGCCACATGAAAGCTTTGAAAAGTTGCGATCATATTTTACCGATACAGTAATTCTAATGAGTCCACATGAATGGCCATTTCTCATGAGGGCGAATGATTTCCCCTGCAGGTTTTGCATCGCGTTCAAGTTTGTCACATTAATTTAGAGTTGTTTGGTTTGAAAGTGACTTCATACATAACTGCAGGCTAAATTCAGTAATTTCAATAGGAATCCATGATCTGAATATTTGCAAATGATTTCCCCAAGCAGGACCTGCTATGACGCTTGTTGTATTCCTCAATTGTAAGTAAATGTAAATTCTAAATGACAATAAGCTTGATTTTATTACACATTATTTTCAAAGTTTTTTTTTTAAACCACATGAAAGCTTTGAAAAGTTGCGATCATATTTTACCGATACAGTAATTCTAATGAGTCCACATGAATGGCCATTTCTCATGAGGGCGAATGATTTCCCCTGCAGGTTTTGCATCGCGTTCAAGTTTGTCACATTAATTTAGAGTTGTTTGGTTTGAAAGTGACTTCATACATCACTGCAGGCTAAATTCAGTAATTTCAATAGGAATCCATGATCTGAATATTTGCAAATGATTTCCCCAAGCAGATTTCGCAGTTTTTTTTGTGACTTTTTTGCACAATTTCATATTTTATGGGGACAATTCTCACTATTCTGGCAAATTAGGAGTTTATTGAGACAACATTTGTAGTTAATAGCGAGCATTGAACTTTAAAATAAAATAATTTTTGTTTATTTATTATTTAATATGTATTTATTGCATGTTTGTTAAAAATAGCAAACAAACGTGGGATGGAGCTTAACAAAAGGTCAGCTGGAGAGGATACTTTGAACTGTAACCTTAATGACCAGCCTGTCTAAGAGGTATGAATATATACTAGTATCTGTTGGTTCAGAAGATTGAAGTATATCATATTAGGAGCAGGAGGGCTCTTTTTTTCTAGGTGTTTTTTTTATAAACAAACCTGAATGTACATATGCAATTCTTTGTAAAAGCACAAACGCACTGATGCACACACATACATGCACAAAGCAAAACAAAACCGAGATGCCGTTGTTCATGTGAGTGGTGCATTGCAATGAACACAAACTCCTATTGTAGCATGATAATTACTTCTTTCATGGATCGGGTTTCATGGCACATTCTTCTACTTATGTGACTAGCAGGAGAAGGAAACCACTGCTCATGATACTTGGCAGCTCTCGCTTCGAGCTTAGGCCAAAAAATAGCCTTATGTAAACTCATATGAGACATTAAATTTGCAACACAAATACAAATGCAAATTGAGAGGAATGGCTTATCTGGGTGGATGGACAAAATCTGAGCGGGTATGCATTTCAGTATAAATGGAGAGCTAGGTTATGGGGGTAAAATTACATGAGAACTCTGGCTGATACAGATATTTTCTATGCTATTTGGTTGGTGTTTGTTTGCCCCAAGGCTCTGGTTCATAATACTGAGTTTCTTTCACACAATTCATGCACACAAAAGATGTTTTTGTGTCATGTATACATTTCACACAGCACACAACAATACACATGCAAATGCATCTCATTGACAGATCACTTCTCTTTGCCTTCTCTTTTAAAAAAATAAAATGAACAATCAAATATGAACATTGTAAAGTAAACATGAAGCTCAAATTCTAAAACTATTGTATTTACAAAATGGATTTTGTAATAAGACTTAAGCCCTCAATTTGCTGACTGCAACATGCAAATGCAAAAAAAAAAATCAACATTCAACAATGAGAATGAAATTTAATTCTATGTTGAATGTATTTAAGACAGACCGACAAGCATCTTGATAAATTTAATCTATTTAAATGTATTTAAATAGACTTACCCTCTAAGTGAGGCATTTATCAAAACTGAGCCAAAGAGGAAATGATATCAGCATAGTGCTTATGCTTAAAATCATGCTCTTTTGGATGCTTGTCCATTGTTCAGGCAAACAGAAATGTTAACTGGAAACAGGTTAATCTTAAAAAACTAGGAAAAGGGTTTTATAATATAAAAGTTTCTAATGGAAACAAAGCTTTGCCAAACCACTAGCCACAATATGTCATCTGTTCTCAGTTGTTATTTGTTATGCTTTACATAACATATTTTGAAGTTAAATTACAGTTTCTGATGTACATTGTGAGAATAATTAGAGATGTTCGTCCAACGTCACTAATTACGTCAGCAGTGTAAAACAAATTTTGTTAATGTGGCACTGGTCAATATTTATACTCTTAGTTTTCTTGGTACTAGCTACAACTACGTACTAAACATAACCTAAAACAAAATGAAGTCCAAGTAGTTAACTTGTATTACTTAGTACTTTCTTGTGAAAGTACACTGTAAATAGATAGTAAGTACATGTACTGTAAAATGCAATTCTTTACCAATTCCAGTCAGCCACAATTATTTGATTCCGCAAATGAATACATAACATGGGGTTACCAATATAAAGCAAATAGTATTCGGGTGCTCACGTGATCTCAACGTTATGTTAGTGTAAACGATTTTTCAAAAGTACTGTTCCTGTCTTTGAGTAAATATTTACTTTGTGCACCTCTAAAAAGTTCAGTTTTACTCCGAGATTGTGGGAGGTTTGGCTCCACTTTGATTCCATTTTTCTAAAGAAAGACCAGAAACATGTCATTTTGACATGCTTCGACTGACATTTCGAGTGTCAGTCAACACCCAGATGAATAACAAAACCACAAAGCAGACACAAAGGGGTTGAAGAATGGTGCGGTTCACAAAGAATATGTTTGCATTGTTATTTGCTACAAAACCACTGTATTGCTTGTAATGAAAGTGAACACAAGAGGAAGTGTTTACTGGCAATGACAATGGGACTCTGAGGCCAATTTAATAGCTTAAAAAATATTTATGACATTCACATGCTAGGATTCGCTAACATACTCCATTTAATGGGTTATTTCTTTTATTGCAAATTCTAAAATGTGTTTTTGTCAAACTGATTTCAATTTAAACAACTGGACATGAGTCATATTTATGATAAGTGAATGTCCACTATTTGCTAAAAAGTCAATTTCAACAGAACATTTAAAAGGTTAAAAACAATATTTTGTGTTTTCCATTAAGCCCAACCTTTGAACGAATTATTGTTCTGGAATGGATTTTATGGAAAACAACGAAGTGATGTGACCAAATTCAACCCACAGTGTGAACTGCCGCTGTTAAACAGAGAGAAGAAACCAGCAACCAAAAGGAGCACCACAAGATACCTTTATAGACAGTCAACCATGCAGAGTGATGGGAGTGGCCGATAGAGTTTCCAGCCAAGCAGGTGTACTCTCCAGAATCCTCTAAAGACACATTCCTGATCTGCAGTACCTCCATCTCCTTATCCGTGGTGTTGATGCCTGCCGTCTATAGACAAAAGAACCACAGAATGAAGCCGGAGAGCTCCGGGAAAACCCACCAGAGGAGAGAGAGAGAGGTTTTGGATAAAGAGTGGTGAAGATTTGACATCATAAGAGAAAGGCGTTGGAGAAACACCCTTCAGCACCCTTAAGGAAATCAGGACTGCTCCCTGATTGGACCCTTCCATGACCCTGCTGACAGATTTGTGGTTAGCTGGAGAACGGAGTGCACGGCTCCACCTGCTAGAGACCCAACACCTGAAGATGAGGGCGACGTCCACCCCCTCGCCACCCTAGAGTCCATCTCGACATGCACAAGACGGGCCACATGGAACATTACCCAGCAGAGACTGAACTGTATTGCTTTCACATACGCACGCATTCAGAAAAGAAGTGATGATAATCAGACAGGGAGGAGAAACTAAGGGATTAGAAAGGCTCATTAAAGAATGTCTGACATAGAAAGAGAAATATGTGCGAGTCAGGATGCAAAAGGTACTGGAACTTCACTCACTGGAGCGATACTATAGTACCTATTGAATTTGCTATCCAAGTGCTGTCAATAAATCAAGAAAATATTGGTATGCGCTATTTTGAAAATTGTGGCCATCTTCAGAAGCGAGTACTGTTGGCCAGATACGATTACACAAAGGCTAGGAAAAATAACAAGAATTTCTGCGATTGATGTGGACAGTTTAAAAGGGTTTTCCTTACTTCCTGTAAGCTCACGTTATTTTGGGGCAACTTGCTCTACTGGTTTCCACCAGTCCACAAGGCACTGCTTTCCAGTTATGGTATTTTGCCCCCTGCATTACTCTCCTTGGAAATTAATTGCACCTAACAAGATTTAATCACGATTAATTGTAGAAAACTAGAAGATATTTTGAAGAATGTTGCCCCCCCCGACTTGGTACTATGGAAGTCAATGGAGCATGTAGGGTGAGTTGAAATTAGTTGAATCATTACAGATGATGAAATATTGTAAACTCTTAACCATAATAACTATGTTATTATTAACTCATTCCCCACTAGCATTTTTAAAAAAGCTGCCAGCCACTGGCTGCATTTTTGAAGATTTTCACAAAACATTCATGGGCCCAAGAATATTTTGTTGTATGAATATTGAACATGCAGTATATTAAAAGAAAGAAAAGTGCCTCTGCTTTAAAAAAAGGCATTAAGTTTCATAAAAAAAAAGCAACATTTTGAACAAAAAGCTGAGAAAATTGTGCCTTTGTCAAAAGACTACATCCAGATTCAGACCGATAATCAAAAAATAGATGGAGTAGATCAAGTCCATTAACACTCCAATGCTTACACAGTCCACTTCCTGGGTCAACGTTTCATTTGGTAACATTAGGCAGATTTGATTTATAGGCTTTTTATTGTTTGATGATTGCATTATTGTATATATGTATCTGCTTACATATGTGATCGCATATTTCTGCTTCTTCTTCAATTGAGTTTTGAACCAGAGATTTTGTACTCTTTAAGATGATGTGTAATAGCACCTCCTACTGTATAAAGCTGGAAAATTCCGTCAATGCAGGGAAGCCTCATCTCAAATTATGGAAAATTCCATTAACGGTGGGGAGAGGATTAATTGACATAGACAACACTGAAGCACTTCAATCAAATGTTTAGGTTGACTGGTTAAATGTTTTTTACCTTTAAGATCCGAACATATGGCAGTCCATCAGGGCCAAATCTACTTCCGTTGACCACGATGTGCTTCAGCCACTGGATGTGTGGCTGAGGATCGCTGAAGACTTTACATTCAAACTCCACATCACTCCCCACCACTACTGTACGGTTAGCAGGCAACCCCGCCTGAAGAATCGGCCTGTGCGGTGAACGCTCTGAATAAAACACACAAAAACACTGTACGCAGTTAGTATGGTGGAAATGACCCCAATTAACATAAGTTATTTTTAATCCTTTTCCCCTCTTAAGAAATGAAAATTGGAATCTGCATTACAGCAAATGGGATATTCAACAGATGTTCAATAAACATTAATATCACATAGCCTGCAGGAAGCAGCCTCTTTAACATGCAGGCTAAACGTTTATTATAATTGCTGTAATTTGGTGGAAATGAGTGGAACTGTTATTTTAAGCCACAGCCCATCTCTCTCAGGGCTTCTGAATAAAAGTCTGTGAATCTACAGACAATCTGGCACTGGCTCTCACTGTGAGCAATGGTGGAGTCCAGAGGTGTTCAACATTTTACAACACTGTAAAGAAAACAATATATAGCTGTTTTAACGACGTATTTGTGCTGCCTTCAAATGGTATGTTTAATCAACTCAAATATCCAAGTTGCCACTTAGTACAACTTAATCTTTCAAGTTGACTAAACTTAAAACTTTAAGGCAGCATGAACACTAACACATTTTTTTGTTCTTGATTATACAGGTGCATGGAAGGAAAAAGTGTGGAAGAAAAAGATGCACAACCAACCGAGAGAACCGCAGCCTTATGAGGATTGTCAAGCAAAATCGATTCAAGAATTTGAGTGAACTTCACAAGGAATGGACTGAGGCTGGGGTCAAGGCACCATGAGCCACCACACACAGACGTGTCAAGGAATTTGGCTACAGTTGTTGTATTCCTCTTGTTAAGCCACTCATGAACCACATACGACGTCAGAGGCGTCTTACCTGGGCTAAGGAGAAGAAGAACTGGACTGTTGCCCAGTGGTCCAAAGTCCTCTTTTCAGATGAGAGCAAGTTTTGTATTTCATTTGGAAACCAAGGTCCTAGAGTCTGGAGGAAGGGTGGAGAAGGTCATAGCCCAAGTTGCTTGAAGTCCATTGTTAAGTTTCCACAGTCTGTGATGATTTGGGGTGCAAAGTCATCTGCTGGTGTTGGTCCAATGTGTTTTTTGAAAAC